GGGGATGGGGGGCTGCAGGGGACAGGGGTGACTGGCGGTGGTGGCAGACATGGAAAACGCTGCAGCACGGGTGTCCCTGCCCCAGGCGCACCCCAGCCTGGCCACCCACACCAGGACACGCAGAGCACCCCTGCTCTGCTGCCTTTGTGTGTCCCCCCCCATCACCAGCCACAAACGCAGGGAGTGAATTCCAAGAGAGAAGTGAAGCTGCTGCTGGAGCCCAGTCCTGGTTATCCCGCCTGGATAACCAGAGCCCCGGCTGTGATTTCATCTGACCGCAGCTGAAAGTCACACTGGTCCCAGCACGGCAGCGCCACTCGGCTCTGTGCCCGCATCCCCGCTCCCCCTCTGGAGCCTCATCGTGGCACCCATTTGATGGCAGAGCCCCATCCTCCAGCTCCCCTGGGGAAGGTGCTCAGTCGGGACTGCCCAAAACACCCAGCCCCAATCCTGCTTTGTGCAGGAGGCCGAGCAACCCGGCCAGGAGTGGTTGATGGCATCCCCAAGGACTTGGCACGGAGAAGAGCAAAAGCCCGGCCACTGCCACAAAGAGTGGCACACAGAGCAACGGGGCGCTGCTCTCCTCGAGGGTTTCCGTGCTGCAGACACGGCCATGGTTTGCTCCAAACCACCTGGCAAAGGCTGCAAATCCTCAAAGGCCAGCATGGTGCCCCAGGTCCAACCGTTCCCCAGCACTGCCAAGGCCACCACTAACCCTTGTCACCGAGGGCCTCATGTACCCCGTTTGTGACCACTTCCAGGGATGGAAAGGGAAGCCACGATGGCTCCAAGACCCAGGAACTCCTCGGGGGCTGCAGATCCCCGTGTGAGGAAAGCCAGCCTGCTAACAAACCCCTTCCTTGCGATTTGGGAGCCTGTGGAAAAGCTTTACCCACAACATCCTGCAGCAAGAAAACCCACCCTTCACTCTTACGGTGCATAAAGAAACCTTTGAGCCTGAACCTCCTGCTTTCTCATGCTCACACGCACTAGAAAACAGGGCACAGGAGCCCCCTGCTCCAAATTACCAGCTTTTCAGCCCGTTCTGCTGCCTGAGGGTGAGCAGAGGCTCCAAAACCCACCCTGCAGTGATGGATGGAAAGCTGTGGGAACCACTCACAATAAACCAAGTGGGGATGCACCAGGCTTGGGGGGAAGATCAGCAGCAGAGAAGCAAAACCCCTGGGAATAAACCAATCCAACAGAAAAAGAACAAAAAAGGTGTTGCTCATCAAAAACACAGGCCTGCAGGAGGAGAGGGAATGTTGGGACAGGGAAAGACCCAGGAAGGAGCCTGTGCACTGCTCCATGGGATGGGAAGGGGAAGCGGTGGTGAGAAAAGCAGCAGCTGCCCCCGTGGGAGCTCCTGACAGCAGAGCTGGAGCATCCCTGATGCCCCAGCCCATGGGGAGAGCACCACTGCTCTGCCTCCCCCCAGAGCTGCTTTGGGGCATCAATAAACTCTTGTTTCAAGAGGAACTTCAGATTTAAAAGACAAATCTAAGAGGGAAGGAAATGCAGAGGTACCAGCAGCCCAGGGCACACACACCATGAGCCGCTGGCTCTGGAGGGGGCACAGGCACTGCTCCTGTCTGCTGGAGAACTGAGGGCAGACACCAACCTCCCCACCTCTGATGCTCCTCCACTAGAGGTCTGCAATCACAACAGTGGTGCTGCCCAACGTCCTGCAGACTCCCCCCAGCCCTGCACATCCAAAAGCAGCTCTGGGTGCTCCAAGCCCAGCTCGAGAATCATGGAATGGTTTGTGTTGGAAGGGAGCTTAAAGCTCCTCCAGCTCCAAGACCTGCCACGGGCAGGGGAACCTTCCACTAACGCCGGT